AGAGATCGAACTGTTCTCATAATTGCTCATCGATTAAATACATTAGTGAACAGTGATCGTATTCTTGTATTAGATAATGGAAAAATTGTAAATTATGATGTACCTACGAATATTTTACAATCTTTTTAATAAGAATTAAAGAAATTTTTGTAATATTATATAAAGAATATCTTTTATTTTCTAATGGATAAATTTGTTCACAACGATTGTTTGAAATTTTATTCTTTTTATTATTACATAGAAATTCTAATGGAGATCTTATGCAATGAATCTAATGAAAAAATCAGCTGTTTACAATTTTTTAAATTGAAAAGTGCAGCATAAAGTTATATGTACAGAATGAACTACAAATAAATTTATGATAATAAAATCATTTGAGAGAATAACAGAGAGAAAATAAAACAAACTTTAAAAATGATCTTACATTATTGTGAATAAATGAAATTTTTAAATATTAAAATTAGTGTCATTACAAATCTATGTTCTTGTTTATTTCCTTTTCACATTTGTTTGTATCACAGAATTAAATAATTTATTAAACATCCTGTCAATAATTACTGAGTTTTATTAACATAATTAGTAAGAGATACTTACAGCTTCTTTTTTTACAAAAGTTATAAACGTGACAATTATTGAACACAGAATGAAAAATGATAGTATCAATAAAAGATTTTGTTGTATTAGCAGAGAATATAAAAGATGTATTTGAGGTTTACATATCAATTGTATTCAACTTCTCAAAATACTACTGGATGAGAATTAGTTTGATTAATTGAAAACAGTCATTTCATTTAAAATTTTCATAGCTCGGATAGCAGTATTACTTCTGTTCATTCTCAAGTTGATTAATCAACGAATAATATCCAGATGTTTATGAATATTACATTATTAAACGGAAGAAAAATGTTATTTTTGTTTTGTGTTTAAATTAAACAGAAATAACTTGAAGTTTTGTTATAGATCGATTCAGCTGACTTTATTAGCATTATTCTTATAACATAGTTTGTTACATAAATATATTTTATATAAAGAGATTCAATCATTTTAAAGGTGAAAAGAATTTCGTCTCTATGGTAAATACTCCATGCATACATTATATTAATAATAATTTTTTCAGTTTTTCTTTAGAAATTAATGTAAAAACATCGTTAATATTAATTATTTATGTAAATTATCAATTTATTGTCATGTTTATACATCTAAAGAGCTTTCTTTAAAGTATGAAATTTGAACAATAACAGATCATAACTGTTTTCTTTCATTTCTTTTTCTTTTGTTTTGAATATTCTAATGATCCATAATTATCAAAGTTCTAAGTTTAGATGCATGACTTTGTCAAAATCGAATTGATATTGCTAGAATAACAACATTTATATATAAAATATGAAAAAAGAAATAGATTAATATTTTTATCTTGTAAGTATCAAATATTTGTATTATATAAAATGTTTATTTTCTATAAAATCATATCTCAAATATTAGGAGTGTAAGCGTCTTTACACTTGTCTAAATTCAACATCATAAGAAATAATCTTCTTCTGACAATAGTATTTTTCTATTAACATTTAGTTTTTAACTAGTCTAGCATATATTATCAGACTGAATACCCATAGAAATCCTTGAATATTAAATCTTAAGTAGTTAAATATATGATAAGACGTAAAGATACTTCATATAAAATAGGTACAAGATAAATTTGTATTATTTTTCATTATTTTTAATCATTCTTTGTTTTATTATTGAGAATTTTTACTTGAATTATATAAAATATTATCTCTTTGATCTATACAATCTATTTTCTTTGTATTAGTTTATCGAAAGATATATTTCTTCGTTAGAATGAGTTTATTAAAAAAACCTAAAATATTTAATTCTATAAGATTCTCTAATCATTAAATTCTTCGATATTTTTATATTTAATAACAATACGTTTAGAATAGATATACAATATTCATTGTATATATTTTAATATCTGTTTTAGAATGAAATAATCTGTCGCTTAATGATCGACGATAAAAAGAAAATCTCTAATGATTAATATAAAAATCAAAACAAATAATAATGATGAAGATATTGAAAATATTAATAAAATAATTAATAGTATAACATTATGCGTGTCATTTTTGACGATTATCATTGGAACATTGGGTGGTTTATGTAATATAATAACATTTACATCAAAAGAATTTCGGTCTAATTCATGTGTAACTTATCTTTTCTGTTCAACAATATTTGATATTATATATTTATTATTAAGTGGTACAACACGTTTTTTACTTGATTATTTTCCTTCGATAAGAAATGATCAATCAATTTTATTTTGTAAATTTCGTACTTATTTCGTTATTGTTATTCCAAAATTATCTGTTTATTTTATCATGGCTGCAACAATTGATCGATATCTGTCAACATCAAGTTCTAAGAAATATCGTAATTTAAGTGGAATAAAATTAGCTTGGCGTATTTCAATGATAATTATAACTGTATCATTAATCATTAATTCTCATATACTTTTCTTTTATGAATTACAATCACAAAATAATAATAATAATATATACCAATGTGTTCCTTATCGGGGTTTCTATACTATATTTGTTAGTATTTATGTTTTTGTATTAAATCCATTGATAACATACATAATTATGTTAATTTATATTTTAATTACTTTGATACGACTAAGAACATTACGATGTCGATTAGGTTTTGTCAATAATTCGAGAAAAAAATATCGTATTATTGATCGTCATTTAATAATATTAATATTTGTTCATGTTGGTTTAGGAATGTTATTAACATTTTTTCGTACTGGATTTTTAGCTTATAGTTTTTGGACAAATAATATGAAGAAAAATATTTGGAGAATTACAATTGAATTATTTTTTGATAAATTTTCTCTTATTAGTTTTTATATGAATTTTGCTAAATCATTTCCTGTTAATATATTAACAAGTTCACTTTTTCGTCGAATATTCTATCAAAGAATAATTAATCTATTTAGAAAAATATGTCCTTCCCGTAAAGGTATGTTAAACAAATAATCTTTATAATGAAATTCGTAAAGAAAATAAAACTAATATATGTTTATTTTAGAAAAATCAATAACAATCAGTCGTACATAATTGATTAAACATCTAAGTCAGGATCAATAACTTATTTTACATTTTATCAACGTTATTTCTTCATAGTCAAATAGATATCAACTTTAAGATTCTATAATAATAAAGCTAAAATAAATGATATCTATACAACTACTTTATTTTGTTTGAAACAACTGACATTAACTGACACAATTTATTAAAATACTATAAAATAGCGACACATGTTTTAATTCATCAAATATGAGATCTGAAAAGAAGTTTTTTGAGCTATTCTGGATGTTCAATATTCGTCTTTATTTTAAATCTAACTATTTCATTAAGCAACAATCGAAATAGCATCAAGAAAAACTATTTTTCTTCATAAAAGTATTCATCATGACAACTGATATGTTAGAAATAAACAAAAACATACCTTCTGTTTTTCGGGGTACTTGTAAAAGACGCGAGGAACCTCAAATCAGAAAATGATATTACTAATAAATAGAGCCCTGTGGGCTGACTCTACGAAGATCTATATCTTTCACTGTTTAGGTAGAGTCACTCGAGTTGT